CAATAAGATGGGCCGGAGGGAATTTGAAAGGAGAGCAGCTTTTCACAGCGTGCCCTTGTTTTCGTTTTCGGTTTCCATTTTCCATTATCCCTATATAACCCCAATATATACCCTATAATCCCTATATATACCCTATATAATCCCTGTAGTTTCCATTTTCTTTTCCATTCTCCCTAATATAAACCCTAATATATACCCTAAACCCCTAAACCCCTAAACCCTAAACCTATATAATCCATTTGGATCTGCTCCACGACCTGCGGGGCGCTGTTAGAGGTTCCCATAAATGGATTATATTAGGGAGAATGGAAAAGAAAATGGAAACTACAGGGATTATATAGGGTATATATAGGGATTATATAGGGATAATGTTTACTGCTTGGCACCCTGTAAAACTCCCAGAAGTGTGATCCTCATTATGGGATTATATAGGGTATATATTGGGATTATATAGGGATCCTCATTATGCATCCTTCCCACCCGAAGTCTACTTAGCACCAGCAAGTCCCTATACACGTACCTACATGACCTCTAGGTAACACCAGTGGCATGCAATTTTTGATCTAACAATCCATGTGTTGGTCCATTCTTCCCAATACTCTCCACACCACCCCAAACCCTCCATTATAAAGTAGTTTCCATTCAATTGTCCATTTGAGCCTCCAGCTTTGCCCACATAAGCCCTGTATAACCCTCCCAGACCCCAACCAGCGTAGCTGCACTTCTGGTGCCTAAGGGGGGTTATATTAGGGGATATATACGGATAATGGAGAAGAAAATGGAAACTACAGGGATTATATAGGGTATATATAGGGATTATAGGGTATATATTGGCATTATATAGGGAGAATGGAAAAGAAAATGGAAACTACTGTATAGTATACTGGATAATGGAGAATCAAATCTGGAGCCTGCCCGGGGAGGGTCGCCTTGAAGCTGGGCGCCAAGAAACGCGAAAACTCATCACCAAGCCCCACGAGGCTGGAGGCCCCCTTAAGGGAACCAGGGTTTCCATTTAATTTTCCGTTTTGGGTTTAAGGGTTTAGGGGTTTATGGCTTAGCCCCTAGATATCGCTGTATGCTGCTAGTTTCCGTTTCATTTTCCATGTTATTTTCCATTTGATTCTCCATTACCCAATATACTATACAGTAGTTTCCATTTTCTTTTCCATTATCCTTATATATCCCCTAATATAAACCCTGTAAGGGGGCCCCTAGACCAAAGAGCCCCCGACGCTGAGCAGTTAGGTTCAGCTTGCTTCATAGGAGTGCAAGCATGGCGTGCTTGGTGCTGTTTGGAGAGCCAGGCTCTGTACCTAAGCAGCAGAAAATTTATCATGCTCGGAACAGCAAACGTTCCTTGTAAAAGCAAAAAGTTAGGGCGCCAGCCCGAAACCTGCAAAGGAGTATATTTGGACTGATGTGTGCGTAAGAAGGCGGTGGGAAGAGTACACCGACACACCAAGTCTTGGGTTATTGGATATAGGAGATGTGCCGTCACAAGATATGCCGCCCCCTGGGTATGTCGGGGCACCATTTCTACATACCATTTCCTGCGGCTGTGCGGCGAGGCGCCATAAACCCCAAACCCTAAACCCTGAAACGCAGACCCCAAAGCCTAAACCCCAAACCCCAAACCCCAAACCCTAGACTACCCCAAACCCCAACCCCTAAACCTTGAAAACCCTAAACCCCTAAGCCCCAAACCCTAAACTGCCCCAAACCCTCAAAACTCTAAACTCCTAAACCCTAAACTAGCCCAAACCCTCAAAACTCTACACCCCTAAACCCTAAACTACCCCAAACCCTCAAAACCCTAAAACCCTAAACCCCTAAACCCTAAACCCTAAACTACCCCAAACCCTCAAGACCCTCAACCCCTAAACCTTGCATAGCTCAAGGATCTGGCCCCCAGAGAGCTCCGAAGCCGGTGTTCCGACCCCCTGGGGCTTCTTCATGACATCCTCAAAAGGATATAGGGTTAGATTAGGGTTATATTGGGGTCATATTGGGATAATGGAAAATAAAATGGAAACTACTATAGTATATTGGGGTTGTATAGGGATAATGGAAAAGAAAATGGAAACTACTGTATATTATTCTTCTTCATGACATCCTCAAAAGGGAGAACATGGTTTAGGGTTAAAGGGTTTAGCGGGTTTAGGGGGTTTAGGGGGTTTAGGGGGTTTAGGGGGTTTAGGGGGTTTAGGGTTTAGGGGGTTTAAGGGTTTCGGGTTCAGGGCTTAGGATTCAGAGTTCAGGGTTTAGAGTTCAGGGTTTAGGGTTCATCTGGCAAGAAACTTACAACGGCCTGAGCAAATCCTATAAACAGCATTTGGAGGCCTCACTATCAAAGTCTAGGCCAGCAAATCAAAAACCAAAGGTACGATTTCTTTTTGAGTTCAGCATGATTCGGCTGCTTTCGAGGGCCAGGGGATAGATAGGAATTCCAGAAGATGCGGAGGGCTTCGTGTTTGCTTTTGGTGTAGCTGCGTAGCTTCAGGAAACGATGGATTATGCCAGATCCTGCCTGCCATGAACGAGGCGGCCCCAGTGGAGCCAGCTAAATTTTCAGTAGGGGCACCCATAAAATCACTTTGGTATTGATGGGGTCGCCATCAGAATTTAAGGCTGTGGTTCGGGGGCTGATGGACTTTGGAGCCAATCCGGGTGTAAGTTCGTCAGTTTTAACAGGGTTGAGCAGGCTTGGTCTGACGGTGGGAACCACGGAACATGGACATGAGCTACAGCGCATACAGCCCAAATAATGGACATGCCTTCCTTCAAGGAGATATATAAAGAAACTAGCAGCTCCACTGAAGGTCCCAATATGGCGGTCAAGGATCGTCGTACAGGTCTGCCTCGCGCATCGCCCTCAGCACGTCCTCCTCTGATGCGTCCGGCACGCCATAGCGAATATTGTCCAGTACCTTGCCCCAACTTCCATCCCACAGGTAGAGAGGCTGTCAAAGTTACAGAGCCCTTTGCATACCTGAATAACACCCCGTACAAGGCCCTCAAGAAAGAATGGCCGTCTGTAGAAGTCCCATAAAGTCCCCCAAATCCCTCCGTCACCTAAGGCTACAAAAGAATAGATTCTGAAGGTGCAGAGATGCAGATCCCTGAAAAACACACTGGTCCTGAGACACCCAGGCAACGGCCCGGTACAAGGCCTGTGGATTCCAGTCAGCCAGGCTCACTCCATCAATCTCCATGGATCCAAGTTGGGGGTCATAGAAGCGAAGAAATATGCTGAAGAGTGTTGATTTCCTGTAGTCTCCGTAAACCTGTAATAAAACAATATATTTAACAAGTCCTTAGGATCTACTAGAACAAAAACTAGAAACAATTCCTAAGAAGACTAGAGCTTCCCACACCCAGAAGGCCCAACCAGCCCAACCATGGATCCTGCAGGGATGTTGAAGTCCAGGCCCTTCAGCACGGCGGCCTCCATGTCTTCTGTGTAAGAGAAAGACATGCTCCGGGCCTGGATGCCGCCCTTGACTTCCTGGGTTGCTGTTAAGGAGCTTAAATTAAGTCACCATAATAGGGTGTGTATATATATATATATCCATGTAGTACTTAATATGGTTTCCCCAAGAAAAACCTCAAGTTAACTTCCGAAACAGCAACCCGGCTTCTGAAGGTAAAGGGTTGTGCTTCGAGGTGTCCTCGAAAGGGATGGCTGGGGGACGCTCCAAGGCCTCAAGCACAGCCTCCGCGTCCTCCGCAAAGGTCATCTTGGTCTTCAGCCGGCGCTTTAGCTGGTACAAGGGCCAGGAGGCCCTGAACGTCTTGCTCACGGCTTCCCGGACCTCCTCTGCAAGAATGTATTTCAGGTTCACCAGCACTCCACCGTACATGTAGGCAGCTTGAAACGCAAACTCCCCTGTGAACCAAGAGCCAAAGTCGGTCACGAAGGAGACATAGTCACTCAACCTGGGTTGCTGTTAAGGAACTTAGATTAAGTTACTATATTGGGTATATATAGTAAGTAATGGGGTTTCCCCAATATAGTAACTTAATTTAAGTTGCTTAACAGCAACCCAGCAACTTCATAACCAACTTCTGCCGAATGCTTTTCTCGAAAGCCTGCTTCTCGCGGTTTTCGCGAGCGAAGGCCCTCACTATGCGAAAGTTCTGTAGAACTTCCAGGGCATTATCCTTTATCTCCTCTGCAACATCATCATGATCCTGCGCAACCTGGGCCATGGTGTCAAAGATGCCGAAGCCAATGTTCTGAAATGCAAACATGCCAAAGCCGAAGGCGCACAGCCGCGGCCTCCGTATCCAGAGCAGACCGATGTTTGTAACTAAGTTCGCAACCATGTTGACTAGCTCTGGGATCTCACATGTAAAGACTCGCTGTATGTTGTCGGTTCGTTGCATTAACGTCTTGTAGAGGTCGTCCGCTCCTTTCTGCGCGATCCACTTGACATCCTGTTGTATTAGACGGTCAAATAGCTGCCCACGCAGTCTGCAGGCTATCTTCTCGCCAGCACCTTGCATCAGCCAGCCAGACCAGCCATACAGTTGATTCATCAAACCCCACCAGAAAAGTCCGTGGCCCAGCACTTGCAGGAGCTCCAAATTGGACTTCCCCGCATGTTTGCCAGAGAACAGCTCCATGTCATGCGCGGATGCCTAAAGTACAAGAGCCCATCCCAAACACACTTGAAGGTTTCTGGGGAGTGCTGCGAAAAGGATTCCAGTAGCGGCTTCTAGATGTTTTTGCTGTCATTCTTCTCTTTATTATTGGTATTGTGTGCACTGCAGGTCGTGAACAGGTTATAAAGCAGCGTATGAAAGGTTTTTGTGAGTTTGGAAATGGCGCTGCTAGTTTCTTACCCTATGGCCCATGGCTGTAGATTCCAGATGCGCTGCGAGGGCCAAATATGGTCCACAGTAGGAAGCTGGGATCAACCCTGCTGTACACATGAACAGCTGGCATAAACACTCATGCGCTGGTAGCTTGTTTTGGCTGAAGCTACACCCCATCATGGCAAAGACCACACGACCTTCCTTCGTCATAAATTGACCCAGACACTCGGTCAACGACCAGACTAGCCGCGATGCTGCAGGCGGTTCCAGCTGCAATTCGCAGAAACTCGGGTGCAGCAACGGCAGCAAAGCCTGCAACCAGAAACTGCAAACTGCGGGGACAACCCTTCAAGCCCAAGCCTGAAACTCCAACACTCATATCATCGCAGTGCGACATCAGGGTTTGGAGTTTAGGGATTTGGGTCTAGGGATCCATCTGCATGGTAACTCTGCTTGCTTTCCGTGTCAACACCCTTCCCTTTCGCCCCCAAGCCATGCACACACATCCCTCAACTGCCCGCCAGTAAGGACTCCAGAACGAGTGCCCTGTTCCCGCATGTTTGGAAAACGATCAGGGTGCTATGTAAGCTGCCTTCATTTCGGGTTTCGCTTCAGACTTCCCTCCCCCCAAGGAATTGAAATCAGGATAACGAAAAAAATCGGCCCAGGAGCGTCCCAATAACCGCCAGAAGGAAGCGGGCTTCTTTCCTTCCAGTTTGAAGCTCGCAACTTGCTTCCAGGACTTACAGGTGAAATCTTGGACATCCGTCTCCCAAACAGTGACCTCCTTGGCAATGAAGGATATGTCCAGCAGTGATGCAAGCTCCTTGGAAAGATCCTCACGGGCACTCGGCGGATGGTCCCCGTAGAACAAGGAGACGTGCGGGCTATATGCCAGCTTCCTGGGTCGCTGTCAAGGAACTTTGTAAACTTACTGAACTAAGGGACCCCGTAATGTAATATATATATATATCTATATATATATATCACCATATATATATATACTCATGATAAAGTCAATGAAAAGAAGCCCCTGAACAGCAACCAACCCCAAAAACCTAAACCTTAAGTTCCCCAACGGCATCCCAACCCTAAACCCTAAAACCCTAAAAACCTTAACCCTTAGGTTTCTTAACTGCAACCCGACCCTAAACCCTAAACCCCTAAACCCTAAAACCCTAAAACCCTTATATAAGCCCTGAAACCATTCAAACCCTCTAAACCATTAACAGCAATCCAGTTTCTGGATCTCAGGATCCACACGACAAGTTTTTCCCCCAAAGAAGGCCGGTAGCCAGGACTTGGGCACCAAGGAAGCCACCAATGAACGGGCCGCCAAAAGCCTGGGTTGCTTTTAAGGGTTTAGGGTTTTCAGTTTAGATGGAAACTAATATTTAGGGTTTAAGGTTTAGGGTTACCAATAATCCCTAGAATCAGGTTTAAAAAGCAGTGGTTTTACCTCCGAGATGGCATACGAGGTTGCTCTACGGGCCTTAGATTATGTTACCATAACATGGGTACATGGGATTTAGCTTAAGTTACCATAATATGGTATGGGTATATGATCAGTACTAGGGGTACCTTCTTACGGTAAGTTAGTTTAAGTACAAACCCTGAACCCTAAACCCCTAGACCCCTAAGCCCTAAACCCCTAAACCCATAAACCCCCCTAGTTTAACAGCAACCCAAGAGCTCGTTGGAGCTTTGAACCTCCAGGAAGACACTTTGAAAGAAGGATGGCCCAAGGCCCAGAGCTTCGACCTGGAACTGCGGTGTAGGGGTTTAGGGTTTACGGGTTTGGGGTGAAGGGTGAAGGGTTTAGGGTTTGGGGTTTCAGATTTAGGGTTTGTGGTTTACGGGTTGGGGTTTAGGGTTTAGGGGTTTAGAAAACAAGATATGGTTCTTTGGGGACCCTAGGCAGAAAAGAGGGATTGTAAGAGGCTTTGGGGGTCCCTATGAGGGATTCTATGGAGGCAGTTTGGATAAACTTCCTATTTACACTGCAATCATACAGGTTCGGCAACCACCCGCCTGCATTTTGATGGGAGCAGTTTGGATTGCAAACTTCTGGGCAAAGTCCGTCACATCCTCACAGGTCCACATATCAGACAGCAAAACAACTTGAATTTGACAGGCACTGCGGTCCCAAGATCAACAGAAGAGCGACTGCAATAATTAGCTCCGAGCCCGCCATTCTCTGTGCCTTTGAGCTGAACTGCTTGCTCCAGGGCCGTCACCCCAGTATAATCCCAGTTTCCGTTGCAAACCTAATGATGCGAAGTAGTAGGCTGGCTACCCGCCAAACAGTGGTATCTAAGCTCGTTGGCGCAAAAGCGTGGTTCGTCTGCAAAAAACTATTCAGATCTGACGCAAACCATAACCGGCAACTGACAGGCATTCATGCCATGTGGGAGGTTGTGGTGGAATCCACAATAAGGAAGCCGTAATGGTTCAGAACCACAATATCAGGACTTGTACATGACCCTCCTTCTGGGCGAAGCCCATGTCCTGCTCGTCACCCGTGACAGGGCCCAACAGCGTCACGTGGGGGGAGAAGGAGGGCCCACCATGCTTGGCACTCAGTTCCGAGATGGCCTACGGCGGGAGTGAGTTGTAGTCCCTATATGAGCCACAATCTAAAGTCTTAGTATACCCCTTAATTAATAGCCCTTATAAAAGTCCCCTAGGTAGTCCCCTATATAACCCCCTTTACGGGGTTTAGACTACAGCTATATCGTTATAACAGTCCCAATAACAAAATTGCTTCCTCTGCGTAGGCAGCAGAAAATTGGGATTGGAACATCTTGGAACAAGTGGCGTTGCACAGCGGGGGATCATGAAATTATTCGATGTGCACGTGAATGTCAGTCGCTTTGGACTTATTGTTGACCCTACCTAGAGTGATCAAAGATAATCAGCACATGTCTGCGGTAATGTAGGTTTGGGTCCTATACACATCAATTTTCTATGTCTTTATAAGGAATGCATAGGAACTAAGGGTAACCCTAAACTCAAAAATACCCCTGTGTCTGAAGGTCCAGCCGGCCTTACTCAAGGCTTCAGCGGTGTTTCCGCTGGGGCCCAGCCAAAGACTGTAGGTCTTCTGCTGCTCCCGCCGCGCCCCATCCACTTCCACGGCCTTGATAGCCTTGGATATCTGAAAAAATATCTTCTTACTAACTGGGGGTTAGTAGGCAATAAAGGAATATGACACAGGGTTATATAGGAAATAGATCTTATGGTCTCTATATAACCCCATATTTCCCGTATATAATCCTTATATAATCCTAAGTTGGCTACATTGGGGTTCCATAGGGATTGTATTCCCTTGTTCCCTGCTAACCATTAATTAGCCTTTGAAGTGCGAAGTCAACATCTCACAAGGTTTCTGTGTTGGGGTTTACCTGAACCCTAAACCCTAAACCCTAAACCCTTTAGGGCCTAGGGCCGCTTCTGACGTGGTTCGAATGTCCACTCCCTTAGGTGCCCGAAAGCTCTACGCACCATGGAAAGCGCAAAGGGCGAACCAGTTGGTTTTTCAAACATCTGATGAAGCCCTACACCCTAAAACGCAAACCCTAAAATCTAAACCCAAGAAAGGATCGCAAGCTGTTCAAACAATGATAATCAAAGGCATGCGCATTTGGAATTCCCTTCAAGAGCCCAGCCCCACAAAATGGCTAGCAACCGTTTCACAAGAGTTCGCCATATGTAATGCATGAATGTATGCATGTATGTA